CAGCCGGGGTTGTCCCTGGTGAGGGATGTGTCTGGAAGAAACAAAAAAGCCCTTTGCATCGTGCTGTGGTTGAAAGGTGTGGGTGAAGTGCGCTCCACTGGCTGCCCGTCGCCATCCCAGGTGCTGGGACGCAGTGCTGGTGGTGATGGCTGTGCTGTAAACAGCTTCTCTGTTTTATCTCCGGACAGATTTCGCACATCATAAGAGAGATCCGCCAGTTCCAGCAAACCTCCTACAAGATTGAGCACCAGCCGAAGGTACGGCCTTGTCCCAAGAGCCACACACTCCCTCTCCTCCTCGTCTCCCTCTCAAATCACAGCGACTAAGCCTCAATTTCTGGCAGCTCCTTTGGGGAAGATACGATGCTTCTGTAAGAAATTTAAGACAGAAAACGCTAGCAGAACCAGTACAGGTGTGGGGGCTTGTGTCAAGTGAGGCATAATGGAGGGGGAACAGGCACAAGAGACATGTAGTGATCTCCCTGCTCCTCTCGGCGTGTGTGTGCCCTGCCACGCAAACCATAAGGAGCTCATCACCCACGCAGTATTGCTGGCAGAGCAAAAGGATGTGGCTTCCCGCCATCCGAGCCTTGGCCAGAACAAGTCAGTGCTTTCCGGGCCTGTCCCTAGCTTTGCTGCCATTTCTTCCCAGCAAACAGGACTGCCCTTTCCCTCTGGTTCTTTCTGCAAGCTGCCGCGATCGTGGGCACAAGGTCAGCAGCCCAGCACGGTCTTGCCAAGTTGGGGCTGGAGCGTGGCTGTGGTTGGGCAGCATGGCAAGGGAGCAGCCTGAAAGGGCTCCCGGGGAGCGGGTGGGCCCTGGGGATGGAGCTGTCCTCCACTGTGAGCTGCTTTCGGGCAAGTGGTGCCTGAGGCAGAGACCTGTGCGCTGCAAGAGCGTGGGTCTTGAACTAAGCTGGAGCTCGTGTTTTACCTGGAGGTGGAACGAGAAGCTGTACCTTTCCCCATCCATGGGGCCCTTCCACGGGAATGAGTAACAAGTGTCAGTGGCTCCTGGGACCGCTGCCCTCGTGCCCTATGCTCCCTTGCCATTTGCTGCCCATCCACTGCAGCAGGAGCGTGGCTGGTGCCTCTGCGCCAGGAGCAGTGCCTGTGCCTTGCTGGAGGCTGTCGGCAGTGGTGCAGGGGACGGAGGGCAGCTGCAGGGGCCGCAGCAGGCTTCCCTGTGCCTCCCCCAGGATACTGCAGTGGAGGCATTGCTGTAGACAGCAGCTATGCCTGGATGTGACAGCCGTCGGGCAGGGCGGGCAGCGTGGCAGATGGCCAGAGTGCTCCTGGGGCTGCTCTGTGTGTTTATAAAATGCATGCACTGCTCCTTGCCTGCACAGCCGGGCCATGGCACAGAGGCTGCCCCTCCCTCAGTGCCCCCCTTTCCCTGCAGCAGGCTTTGCACAGAGCAGGGCCAGGCTCTGCGTCCCCCTGGGCCCCCCCCGTGGGTTGCTCCCGTGGGCCGCTCCCATTGGCCTGCGGCTCCCATGGGCCTGCGCACAGCTGAGTTATCCCAGCACTGGCAGGGCCCACCCTGGAGATGCTGAGAAATAGCAGCATCCCCCTCCCCAGGCTGGGGGTGCAGGCTGGGAGCAGAACATGTCCCACTGCCCCCCGCGGCCTGGTGCTGGGTGGCCTCCGCCTCGTGGTGGCCCCCACACATGTGATGAGATGAAAGGTCTCAGCCGCCCTGGCACTTCCTCTGCCACAGCACTGCAGAGCCACCCAGGAACTGGGCTGGTTGCTGTAGGGGTTTCCGCTGTCGCTGGCATTGCTGTTCTCCAGAAACAGCAAACCCTCCTGAAACAGTGCTGCTGCCCTGCAGGCATCTGCCGAACCTGCCCAGTGCCCTGGCTGCTGCGTTGTTGGCAATCGGGCTGGGCCAAACCGCCCTCCAATCTGATGACACCAGTTTTCGTGTGCGGTGGCAGGAGTAGCCCGAGTCCCTCTGGACTGCAACTCCTGGCCGGGCTGGCAGAGGTGGAGGGGCCACAGGCTCTGATTTTAGCCTCTGCAGCGCTGGGCAGCCCCAGCCCTACCCTCCGCACTGCCGGTACCTGCCTGGGGCTGGGCTCATGCTGCAGCCTTTTCCCAACTGGGCACCCCAGGTAACCCCTGCCTCCTCCCGGCCTCTCTTGCTGAGGAACAAGATCAGCGTCTGCGAAAGCTCTGGGAAACCCAGCTGAAAACAGCCAACGCCAAGTGCAGCGGGGAAGGGTAGTGCAGGTGGTGCCGTGCATGGCTGCACATCGCCCTGTCTCCCTGCAGAGGTGGGATACAGCCGCACAGAAGCTCCCGGAGGGTCTTGTGGGTGATGGGATGAAGCCCCCTCTGCACTGCTGGCACTTCCCGGGCAGAGGCCCTGCTGCCGGCTGCTCCTCACACCGGCCGGCTCCGAACCCCAGACGCGGCACCTTGCCCTGGCACGGCTGTGCCCCTCTTCGGGATCAGCTGCACACACCGCACGGCTAATGAGGCCAAAAAGTAATTTGGGAAAAATCTTCCAGGAATTGCAAGCAGATTTTCTGCTAGCACCAGAGCAGATGT